AAATTTCCCCTTATAAAGACGAATATGAAACCCATCACTTCTTAGATTCAGCTGTCTTTTGGGCCAGGGCTGAAAATTAACAGCATAATGTTTCATTCACTATTTCGTAATCAGCTTAAGGGATAGCCTGCTCTGCAGCATAACAGGAAAACCATCTGGACCTTGCTTTGGGGAAGCACAGGGAAAGCTCTCTGCTTATTTGAGTCACTTTATTGCTACTAAGGGCTGATAAACCAGCTGGAACAGACCACATTTTCCCAGTCATCCCTACATGGTTCATTACTGAGTTCCTTATTGACATTATTATCTTCTCATTCCTACCTCAAGGCTTTTCTCAGCCCTCATTTGATTTACCTGGGTTTTCTCCTTCGTTATAAGCTTTCCTGTCTGACTGCAGGTACCTAAAGGAGGGAATCAGGCTAGAAAAAACACAAATGTAAAAAACAAATAGCAGTCTGAAACCTGGACCCTTGCAATCCCCGCTCTTTTATAGGAGGGGTCCACCCTGTTTTGGCAGAGTTTAGGCCTGTCAGCTTCATGGGTTATCACAGGGTGCTGTGGCCCCAGATGGGATGCATTTCTCACGGAGAAAACAATCAGGGTGACCTGAGCAGGAAAACGTGCATCAGGTCAGCTCTTAAAAGGCTTGTCCCAGGTGTGAAGTTGGACCCTGGGGTGGGAAAGTGTATCAGGTGTTTGGGATGTAGCATGTGGTTTAGTCAGTGATCCCCTTATTGAGTCAATTCTGCATCTGTCAGACCTTTATTAAGCTCTTGGTCTCTGGATTGAAGTTTGGAGCTTCCTATTCAGGAAATTAAGCTCTGCCAGTGGAAGTCACATAAAAGAAACTTTTCAGAAGCTTTATCAGACCAGAAAAAGATGCCACTTCTCTCTACCAACACAGAAATTAAAATAAAGATGCCTCTGGTCTCCTGTCAATTCTAGCTCAGACTCCTTGGAAAAGCTGTAAAACAGACTTGAGAGTAGGGAAGGAAAAAAAACCCCAAAGTAATCTTTTTTACTATTTATGAATAGCTTCAGGGGAGGAAAGGCAGGTTCTGGCTGAGCAGGGTGAGAAGATTACTGCAAGATAAACTGAAGGCCATTAAAAAAAATAAAAATGGGTTAATTAAAGGCTTTCAGATGTTTTCCAAGATCTTCCACTTTCAGATTGCCATACAGACAAGTGATGTGTTTGATACAGTGGGTGTTAAGTGGAATACACTTAGCTGTATATTGTTGGGCTCAAGGTAGAGTAACCCTCATTTGTAGACCCCAAGTGAATGGGATGGATATGATGCTGTATGCAATAAACTAAAAACACTTGTGTGTGACTGTATGTAGTTTAAATGAAGGCAGGTAAAATTACCAAGTAGCTCTAACGGACTCCTGAGGTTGATTTCCCATGTGGATGCATAGATTTAACTCAACAGCTGACAATAAAAAGAACAAACAAGAAAATAATAGTTCAGGAGGACAGACGCAAGCAGCACACAGGATGATTTGAGAGATAAGTGTTAGCTTTAAGAAGGCATCTTTAAGGAAAATAGCAGTATTTGGGGTCAGCTGATTTCAAAATATACAGAAAATTATAAAAGTAATTTTTCTGGAAAACTCCTTGTCCTAATCTGAGACAGGCTCAAGAGAGAGGGATGGAGACTACACAGGGTACAAAGTCATGGGACACTCCTGGACCCAAACCCGCATGAACGTTGAGGAAAAACTTAGTTTTCATTATTTGCAGAGAGATTACATCTACAACTGCATCTATTGTCTCTGCTAATAAACACCTGCCCTGAACGTTACAGCTGCGCCAAAGAGGCTGTTGTGGGACTGCTGCCATTCCCAGATGAAAAGAGGCACCAGGATTCAATCTGAAACTGTTGTTCACAGGACCATGAACTGGTCCAAGTACAAAAAAAAATAACAAAAACCAAAAAATTAGATTCCCGTTAGGAGCTAGGGAGGCTGAAGGTCTGAGGCCACAAGAGGGGTCCCTTTGGCCAGCCCAGGAGAAGCGCTGGCACAAGGAAGCTTTCACAACCAGGGCAACAGCCATATCTACCTCAGAATTGAACATTAATTACTAGATTTATCAGCCACCACACTTAAATTCAGTCGTTATGATCAGGTTGGTTTTTTTCTAAATACCTAATCCTATTATATTGGCCCTTGACCTGTGAAGCCACAGATCAGTTACCATTACTCTATTTTCAGTGTTGCATCTGGACTCTGTCAGGGTTTCCCCACCACTGCAGAGGATTTTGATGGCCTCACTAGGTAAGTTTTGCCTTCGTGGAGGTCCATTGTCAGATCACCCATCTTCTTCTTGTTCCTTGGAAGGAGGGGAAGGGAGAGACCACACATGTGCATTCATTTAAAGCTCAGCCCCCACAAACCATCTGTGGCCTTTAGATACGTGTAATCAAAGACAATTAGGAATAAACATTGTTAGTTTTTCAAAGCCCAGCCATGCTGCAGGCCAAGCAGCAACGCCAGTCAAGCCCAATTAGAAGGGGCATTTCAAAAGACCTTGGCAAGCAGTGCCTTTTACAATTTTTCTTCTCTGCTGCTTAATGAAACAAATAAATTTCTTTTTCCACTGGGGATGATACCTCTGCTCTCCCCCTGCCGCCCTCAACAGTTTCTGCCTGCCTGAAATGAACCAGAAACAAAGCAATCCTGATGGGGTTTTTTTATTTATTTATATTTTTTTTTAGTTAGAAGAACCTGTGTCAAACTGTTCTGACCTAAAAGTGCAGCTCTCCTGGAAATGATTTAATGTTTCAGGGTATAGTGGATGTTTTACAGCCCTGAGTGTCCAATGTCACTTCAGATCCAGCTCCTCATGGAGCAGTTTTTCCTCCTCCCAGCCCTTGCTGGGCTCTTGGAGAAGCTGATACCTGCACACAACGCAGAGATCCTTTCTTCAGTGCAACTCAGAGACATGCTGGGATGGGGGAGGCATGCCTGGGCTCCACCGCACCTGGGGACGTGTCCTCCAGCAGGGCTTGGGGCACAAGTCTTTGGCATAGTCCAGTCTTCGGTGGAAGCAGATGTTGTGCCTCCACAGCTAAGGAAACCTGCCATGGTGGGTAATAAAGCAGAAGAGAGGCCAGGGTGGCACAAACATAGTCCAGCCTTAGCTCCTGCTTTAGATCCACCCACCCCCCAACCAGCCCTACGGAGTCTGAAGTGTCAGAACCCCAAAGGATGGGGCAGTAATGGGCCACCAGCCTCTGTTCCAGACCCTGCCAGGGAGTCACCTCATCCCTAGGACAACCCCCAATATCCCCTTGTCTGTCTTCCCTGCTCCTACTCCCAGAGATCAAGGAAAGAATTGGATGAGTGCTGTTCTTGTTGTATCAGACACACTCCCTTCTTTAGCCAAATCCCCTCTCTTTTTGAAGGTATGCACTAAACAGGACGTTATCACACCTTTTCTGACCTTAGATACAGAACAAGGCACAGGATTTAATTCAAAAACCTCCTTGTTACCCTAAATAACTTAAATTATTAAGGCGTGCTTTCCTGAATGACCATCTGACTTAACACAACATCTACAAGACAATTTAAGAGCAGGTTTCTTTAGTCATCATCATAGAATCTTGTCATAGAACGGTTTGGGTTGGAAGGGACCTCCAAGATCATCTAGTTCCAAACCCCCTGCCATGGCACGGAAGCTTCCCACTAGACCAGGCTGCTCAAGGCTCCATCCAACCTGGTCTTGAACGCTGCCAGGGATGGAGCATCCACAACTTCCTTAGGCAACCTGTGCCAGTGTCTCAGCACCCTCAGGGTGAAGAACTTCTTGCTCGTATCTAGTCTAAACCTGCCCTCTCCCAAACTTGTCGTTAGTGACTCAAAATGCAGAAGCAAGACTGCTTTAAAAGAGATACTGTTTATGAATGAGGAAAAAAAGAACTTTCTCAGTTCTTTTTTTATGTTTCATTGTAATTAATTACTAACTAATTTCAAGACTTGTTTAACAGATAACACCACTAAAAAACTGACTTCTTCAGAACAAGTACAAATTGAAAGAAAAAGTACATTTACAGCTGGGAAAAGTCCACTCAATTGAAAAAATAAAGACATTTTTAATCAAGAGACATTTGGTATCACTTCCCCTACCTAAATTATTTTCCAGGTCACGATGTATGTAGATATGTATATATGCATGAAAGGACAAAAGGAACCTGCAAGCTACAGCATAAAAAGAAATGAAACAGCATCACCTTGCCAGCAGGCAGTCTCGTGGTTTTTTCATGGAAAAATATGAGAGAAGCCAGGACCTTCCTCCCGAACTCACAGCACGACTCGATTGTCTCTACACATTTAACATGTTCTCAAGGAACACAAGGGCTCTCAGCAAATACAGGTTGCCTAATTCTTCGTTGCAAACAGCTATTTGTTCACTGCTGTTGTTTATATATATAAAAAAAGCGATAGGATCCCTGGTCTAAGCTTTAATCCCGACTCCTTGATGCTGTCCGTGCTGTTTAATCTCCCTACGGCAGATTCTGCTTTCTGCTCCGAACCTTTTATGTTGCTGGAGCTGTGGGAATCCGAGCTCTGGCTGCAGAACTGGAGCCTTTAGCCCGGAGTGACCTATTTTGAACCAATATCTTTCAACACCAAAACCCCAGCCTGAGCAAGGGAAGCAGCTCCCCATGTTCCACTGGCAAGTCTCACAATATAGCACAAAGAAAAAGAGAAAGAAACGACCGAGCTCAAAGGTCAGCGTCGACTGCTGTCTCACACACAATAACTTCTGTCCCATTTGATCTAGCAGTTCTTCTGCAGGGCTTGCTTCTCAAGGGTTCAGGAAAAAGGCAGAAAATTACCCTCCTGGAGGTTGGGCTGCTGAGGCCAACTGCGAGATGGTGCAACAAGGGCTGACCCCTGTCCGGTGGGAGCTGCTTTAAGCCAAGGCTCTAGCGTTTGCCCCCTGCCTGTGCCTGCCCACGGGCTCCACCGACCCTCGAACCTGTCCCATCGCTATGGACGGGTCTGGTGACCTGGGCTTCCTGCTCACCCTGGGCAAGCCCCACTCCCCTGATGTGGAGGAGGTGGGATGAGGTCTTGCTGGTGAGTCCGCTACCCTGCTGTTTGTCCTCCTCAGCTCCCCATCTTTAGGGAGCAGCTGGCTCTCATTGCACCCCGATGTTTCTCTCTTGTCTTCCTTCCCTTCTTATCTAGCCTTAGCAGAGCAGATACTGCCTCAATGCAACCTGTGGAGAAGTCTTTTCAGGAAAGAAAGAGTCACGTTGTACTTTGGAGCTGAGTCTTAAAAATATATTTTAAAGATAGGAATGTAGAATATAAGAAATTTCCTCCTGGCCCCAGGAAATGGACTCTTTAGAAAAAAGAACCTGAGGCTTTGAGAAACGACAGCAAAAAGATTTGCTTTGTAATTGTGAAAACTGACAACACTTCAGATAAATTTCAAAATGGAAAAAGCTTTAGATAAAATCTTTTTATTGAATCTCTGTGCCTCAAAGTTTTCCAAAATTTAGGGGGGAATGGGGGGGCAGTAAACTAGGGTCTACCCTCTCCTGTGCTATTGGCATCTTTCTGACTGTTTTAAGGACCCTTGCAAATCTTAAACCACACTTCTCTCTTCTTTTTTTTTTCTCCCTCTTTCCCAGGCCACCACAGAACCCCCAAAAAAGAAACCGGACCCTGTCACTTCAGAGACGGTGGTGATCTGGGGGCTGCGCCTCTGGCAGGTGATTGGTATCTTTGCCATCTTTGTCCTGGCAGTCAGTAAGTCATCATTCTCTGCCTTGCACCAACCACAGCACCACCCCAAGTAGGACTTGATCCCGGAGGACTACAGACCAGATGGCCGTGGAGGTCACGGGCTGAGGCTCTTTGGTCTCTGGCATCACAGGGCTATGCGCCGAGGGGTTTTGGCAGCAGGGAGAGGCAGGTGGGGGTCTTTCAAGGAACCACAGATAGGCTTCATCTTGTAACGTACTGGTCAACAGGTCCTAGCTGGTGGCATCCCAGAGAAGAAGGGATACTACAGGGCTGTGCCACAGCTGGGGCTGTGCTTGGCTACAGTACCACATTCAAGCCCAAATGCATGTTGTAGCCGTGGTCCTGCACCGTCACACAACCATGCAAACATGTGGCGATGTCCCACATGCTGCAATAAGAAGCTTCAAGAGGTCTGCAGTCACGGCCAGGTCTGGCATTAAGATCCCCAACTCCTATTCTGGGTGCCAGGACTTTCAACTTTGTTTTAGCTGGGCTTTCAGGACTTAAAAACCTCCTTTTTTTGAACCCAGGCACTAGGAAGTCACTGTTTCAGACTGCAGTGGGATGGGATCAGACACTCTCCCAGCACACTTTGAGGATCTATCTGATTGTGGCCGATTCCCCTCACCTGAGTGTCTTCATCCAGCTTCATCCCCTTGCAGCTCACTCTCTGGGAAGAGTGTAAGCCAGCTTGACTGTGCATTGCAAACTACTATCATGAGCTTCCTTACAAGAATATCACTTAGGACACTATCATAACCCCATCAAAATTCAAAGGAAGGATCTTCTGCTGCTTCTTGAGCCAACTATAACTTCATACAAAAATAGATCACTTGGATATGAGCCAAATGTGATAACTACCTTTCTTTCCCTTCTTCTTGTTGTTCTCTAGACTTTTGCAAAGCGTATAGCTAATTCATTTCTTCCAGCAAACAAAGTTACACTGACTCATCTACAATTCCCTTGAACCTCCTCTTTTTCCTGATAGGGACAGCTGAACAGAGGGACAGAGTCCCCAGTCCCTGAAAGTAAAGCCCATCAACTTGGAGATGGGCGATCACCCCATATCTTTACCCGCTCCAGGAAGGACACCATCCAGCTGTATGGACTTAGATACATCTAAAACTTCTAGGCATTTTTTACCACTTCTCATTCTGGCTTGTGGCCCTAATTGCTTGCTAAGATTAGTTTCCTAAGTGGAGTAATGAAGAATTTCGAAGAAAGTGAAGGAAGTTTGCATCCTTTCTGCTCTCATTCCTCGTGAGTGATGAGCGCTCTCCAAAACAGAGTGGCCACACGCAAGCTCCTGGCAGGGAACAGCCACAGGCAATGCCAAGCCTGACCTATGAGCAGCCGTTGTTTAGAACATGGGTTTGCTGAGCCAGCTCTGAAAACACAGTAGTGCAGACAACTGATTTCTAATGCTCCCTGTTACTTTTTAATTTGCTGCTAAAACCCCGTGTAGACATAGACCTAATCTAATCAGAGAGCACAGCAATCTGTGGATTGTCTCTGCTGATACCGGGGGAATAAAGTCACTCCTTGTCGCCACAGCCACCTCTTTGGCTGCTGTAGGTAACCTGTATCAGTCCGTCCCTGATAAGCCTCCCTGTTATCTTCCCATGCCCTGTTTAAACCAGACATTCACATTTTCAAAGCCAGTACAAGCATTTTCCTCTGTTTTCTTTTCCCATCGTTGCCCATCCTGGGCAAACACCACACCCAACACCCAAAGTCTGAGGATAACTACTCCTACAACTTGCCTGCATCAATGAAGCTTATGATAATTCATCATATGCCACAACACTCTTTGCAAACAATCACAAGAAACTCTGCAGAGCAAAGTAAGCACGGCCAAATTTTTAACCCTAGTGACTCCATACACCGTGTGAAACAGGCAGGAGCTTTGGAATGCAAGTAGACTAGGGGAGGGGTTTATTTAGCTTGTTTTCCTTGGACAGGGGGCATCAAATCGTAAAGAAATTTTCACCCAGTAGCTCAGAGTGCTTCGTTGTGCATTAGGAATTGGCTCTAGCGTTACAAGGTTGTTTAGGGTTCGAGGCATGGAAAATTTGGTATGCTGGCAAACCACGGTGCACTGCTTGCCGAAAAGAAACTACGTTTTGGATTTTTTTTGTTGTTGTTACCTAAAAATATCAGTAGCAAGAAGCAAAATCCATGAAAATTTGCTCATCTAACCACAGCCCATGAATGAAACACATTATAGAAAACAACACACAAAGAAAGTTACAGCCTAGTTATTTAAAGTGCTGAAAGCAGTGAATTATGAGAAACTAAAATACTTTTAAGGATCTGCATTTAGACAAGCAAACAAACAGGTTATGTGCAAGTCAGTAAAGTAACATCTGCTTTAAAGTCCAGGTTCCCACTAACACGTTCAGGTAGTTCAACAAAATCAAGCCATTATGTCACGCTGTTACAGATATATACCACTGGAGAAGCAGCAAAGTATTTGCTAGGAGATCACAGGGTTTTGGCTTGCTGAGCCTCAGAGTGATAAATAGATTCAGTGCCTCACAACAGGTAATGGAGCCAGTTGATGGCTCTACTGCTCTGTTACAGCCTTTTTGTTTGAAGAAGCTTTCTTTCAAGGAGCAGAGGGGATTTGAAAGCAACTGTACCAGCTCAATGAGCTTTATGAAAACAGCATTTGGTGAAGGCTGCAACTATTAACCAAGTCTGTGATCGGAGTTAAAACAAGGCAAGTCCAAATTAATGGCATTAGAATAACCGAATCATACAGTCAGTTCTCACCAATCTCTCGTGTCTTGCTCCAGCAACATCCTCCTCCTCCTCCTTTGCTTTGCGATCCTCAAAGCACTGATGGTTCCCCAGCTTTACCAGCAAAGCTTTAACTCTCAGGAGCAGGCACAGGTTTCCTTGTGAGTGAGATCTTAGAGGCTGCCTTGGTATCAGTCCAGAAAATGAAGCAATGATCTACTTTTCTAATGGGACAAGAGCTGGAGAAGAGCTGGCTTCCTTTTCCTGGTTCCAGGAGCACCTTCCCAGTCAGAGAATAGCACAACCCTCTAACAGCACTAACCCTCTGCACTAGGAGACAAAAGAGCATCCTTTCCAGGGCTTCTTAGGGCCTACACTTGATCCCATTGGCTTACCATCACACCTTGTTATCAAGGCTTTAAGGGTGTGTCTACTTTGTCATGTGAATTCAGGTGAGGAGTAAGTAAGGATGAGGAGAGGAATTGAGAGGCTTTTAAAGTTATTGCCCCTAGCGACTTCACCGTGGGTGATTGTGGAGCCCTTGGACTGGATTCCTTTCAGCTGAAATGGAAATAGAAGATAGTTGCTCCAGAAAGGTATGTTCAGATATGCATGCAAATTGCTAGGGGCAGTCACAGGACCAAACTAGAGTACCTCGCCTGAAATAGGCTGAGTGTGGACGGCAGATCCTCCACCCTCTTCCACCCCACAAACCTGCTCCTG